TGTGGAATAACTGTATATCAAGACAATCCTGGACCTCAAATCCTCTATTTAACCCATGTTGTGTAATTACTGGGGCTAAATTGTAATAATTATTCATTCATACATTCATTTTCTTTTTCGGCTTAGTTCCTTTATGAATCAGGGGTGGCCACAGTGGAATGAATCACCAACTTATTCAGGATGTGTTCTACATAACGGATGCCCTTCAAGCTGCAACTCAACACTGGGAAACACCCATACACACTCCTACACACACATACACTACGGCCATTTTAGCTTACCCAATTCACCTGTAGCACATGTCTTCGTAGTTGTGGGGAACCCCCGGAGCATCCGGAGGAAACCCCAGAACTCCACACAGAAATGCCAACTGACCTGTCTGAGGCTCGAACCTGCGATCTTCCTGCTGTGAGACGACAGCGCTTCCCTTAGGCTAACTTAAGGCTAACTTAATTTGTGTTGGTAAAACATGAATGAATTGTGTGTGACTGTATTTTGTATTCAAGTATTATGTATTCATTTTTTAAAAATAAAAAATTTGTAATATTTTTTTTCAGGTAGTCTAACAGTTTGTGGGTACAGAAATTAAATATTAAAATATAAAATACTATATAAAATCCATTCACTGTATGAAATATTTTTTTGTTCACACTTCAAAGATGAGCATTTATTGTGCCTAAACACTGTTAACAGTGTAACAAGCCTTAAAATCATATGCAATGTAAAACTCTCACTCTGTTGTGGTGGTTAAACTTAGAAATTAATCCACAAAACAAATCAGTGATTGCTTACTTTTAAATGGATCACAGTTGACATTATAAAACATGTTTTGTGTTTGTTTTTGCTTTTTTCATAGTGTCATCTATGATACCTACTTGATAGATAAATATATAATTTCATGCAGATATCATTTGATGTAAATCTTGCTGATGTATGCATGAAATTATATATTGTACAGCCATACAATGAATTCCTTATGTGCTTTGTCATGTTGACCAAATCAACCAAGATGTTTGAAGATAGCCATTGAAGGCCATAGGTTGACATGATGCAAAAGTTTTATGGATGTACATAGATCAGTTTAAGGCTACACTGTATAAAAAAAAAAGTAGGGTTCCACAAAAATTCATTTATTTTGTCCCGGCACAAATCAATTTAAGTAAATTTCAACATTTGGTTTCAACATAAAACATTTAAACTGTCTCCAGATATCTCACACATTGTGCTGTTTCACCTAGTTCTAAATGAGCAGTCTGAACAAAATCTTTTTTGAGGGTAATACTTTGTTTTAAAGAAGCAATAATTTTGCACACTGATATGTGAAGCTTTGCAGAGCTTTTTACATGCACGAGGTGTTAATAATGTTTTCCTGTTTTGGCAAGGAATGGGTGAGAGGTCATTGAAAATGCTGCTCTCTGCTGTATGTTGTCAGAAACTGCAGATAAATAAATATATATTTCCATACAATGTGTCTACTTTATGTGTATGTAGCTTTGATAATTATTTGAATACATTATAGAGTTCAAAATTGGCTTCAATTATTTCCTACACATAAGGTGGAGGATATATCATGTTTCTCATGTTTCTCTTTTCTCAGTAGGAGCCTTCGTTGGAAAAGCAGGCAACGGCAACATAGTTTTCTCCACAGTCATTTGATTGCAACTCTGAAAAAGCACTACAGGGATTCCTCTCGAGCATCAACAGGAACTAAATCATGAAGTTGCCTGACCTTATAGTAAGGTCTGCTGTGCTGAAAGGTTTTGAGGATAAGCTCCACTGTGTTTAGATGATCTCTACATCTCTCCCCGACCTATCTTAATATCTACTTGACAACAGCATCTGTCATCACTTTACTGGCACATGACAGTATTCACGGTGAATCAATACCTTCCTGAGTCCTCAAGGATAAGCCAGCAATTCAAGGTCATGCTGAATGAAACGGCACCTTCACCTTCCCAAACTCAAATTCCTGCTGACGTTTTTGTTTGTTTGTTTGACTGTTTTGACAAGTGGTGTTAAAGTTACTCGGTTATGCTTTCTTCTTTGGTTTAGTTTCAACAAGCATCAACTCAAGGTGTTTTGACTTTTTACTGACATCTGCATGGATGCTTGATCGTTGTCATTTAACACCAAAGCTGTCAATCTTAGCTTTTTATGTACACCGTGATTTGTGTGATAGCTTTCAAAAGTTCATGCTGGTTTGTTTTCAGGTTTGCTCTGTCTGCTGGTAGGATTTCTTTGTTTGTACAGTTCATGCATCCAAACAAGCGGGCCGACACTACGAAAAGATGAGTCTTGGTCTGCCTCCAAATGAACTTGACTGAATTATGAGTGCATCATGGACCAAAGAGATCTAAACGAGCCAAAAGCAGGACATAATGTCAACAAGATGAAACCTTAAAAAGTACAGAATGCTCAAGCACACTTGTTTTTTTTCTTTTCTTTTCATAGCTGCAATTCCGCCCATTACAGCTTCATAAAGACATCAGAAATGCATCTCTTTGCAGCAAAACCTAATGTTTGCATTTGACAGATGAATTCCTGCAACTGTTTTGACTCATTTACACATTTTATAATCTCTTCATCAGTTCTCAGCTGACAAATGTTCAGTTTAATGATGTATGTGCCTATACACAAATGCGAAGACAGCATTGCTTGGTATGTTCAGTGAGTTCTATTGCACAATATGTTAAAAGGCACTCCTGTTTCCCTACCAATTTTTATGCTTACTTTGCTATATTTGGGTTCAGACAGAAAATTGTGTGAATTTAATTTACATGAACATGGAATAATTATGCATGGTGATTCTTATAAGGGGGCAACCTGTGTAATGCAGAATTAAACAGATTATTTTAGAAGTCAGACACAGATTGATATATAAATATAATGAAAACAATTTACTCATATTATTAATTGCATTGATTATATTTACAAAAAAAACTGTTAATCAGTGGTCTCAAATCCAATTCCTGGAGGGCCACAGCTTTGCATAGTTTGGCTTCAACCACCTACAACTCACACCTCAATAGTCTCTATTGGCCCATTTCCACTGACTGGTACAGTATGGGTCGGTACGGATCACCTTTATCAGCCTTGCGTTTGCACTGCCTAAAGCACAGGTGTCAAACTCAGTTCCAAAAGGGCCACAGTTCTGCACAGTTTAGTTCCAACCCTAATTAAACACACCTGATCAAACTAATTGAGTCCTTCAGGCTTGTTTGAAACCTACAGGTAAGTGTGTTGGAGCAGGGTTGGAACTAAACTGTGCAGGGCTTCGGCCCTCCAGGAATTGAGTTTGACACCCCTGGCCTAAAGGGTACTAAGGGTACTTAGGTGGGCATGGTGTACGACAAAAAGTTTCAGTCAACGTCATTCTCACTCGAGGAAATCTCACTCAAAGTAAAGCTGTACGGGTGGTCCATATGTCATACGAGAAGCACTTTTCACAAAACAGACGCTTTATACACATAAATACTTGTGTATAAATGTTTATTACTAACCTTTCTATGAACATGATTTGATAACTGCAGATCAATATCCTACTGTAACGTCTGCGATTTTATCAAATAAATAAATGCAAATGCAATTGAACACATACAGCCCCTTATAGTCTCCGGTATGTTACCAATTACAGAAAAACTACTCACGGCATACATTTAGTCCTTATTTGAGTTCAAAACAACACAAAATATAGCCCACAGTCAGTGCAAACCTCTCATCTGTACCTTTAATCTTCACAAGCACATGTAACCTCTGTTAGAAAGCTTTTCTGTCATTCAGAGTTCATAATAGTATAAAAGGTGATGATAACAGTCAAACATGGCAGTTTGTTCATCTTTTAGGTTGCTTAAAGAATCATTCTCCTTTGTTTTGTTTTTTCACTCTTAACGTTTGTCAATTTCTGAAAGGATGTCAAATGCACTTCAATAATCATATGCATTTTATTATCATCAGCTCAAGAAGCTTGTTATTTAAAATATAAACGCGCACTGGAGCGATCACAGGCTCTCTGGAGAAAGTGAAACAGCTCACACCTTTTGAAAAACAAAAACAGTACATGGCAGATTTTGTTCTTCTTGGCTTTGTGGAACATCAAGACAAAGACAAGGTTTGTTTGGGCTTAGGTCAACCATGGCTTGTTATTATATGTATATAATATTACGATGCAATGTCTCTGTTGTGTATTTAAAAAAGGCGGTTTCTTTGTTTTTATTCTCCTGCATGTGTATGCACAAGTGACGTTTCTCTGTAAACCAATAACAAAGGGAACCCAAAAAGTGGTACGGTACTGTTCGGTATGGAAAGCTCTGGAGACTGCCATAAAAGAATACCAAACCATATGTACCATACCATACCATGAAGTAGTCAAGAACACCTTGACTAGCTGGATCGGCTGTGTTTGATTATGGTTGAAACAAAGCTGTGCAGAGCTGCGGCCCTCCAGGAATCCAGTTTAAGACCTATGCTGTTAATGTATGCAAAAATATTGTAGCATTCTATTAAATAGCAATAGTTTCAACAACAACAACAACAACAAAAACATCTATTTATTATTATTTTTATTTTAAATAAAATATTGCTATTCATTACTGTAAATGTGTAAATATAAATATGTAAATTTACATAATTCAGTCAACAGAAAATATATAGTAAATTTTCTAAAGCTGCACAATATAGAATATCAGCATCATTACTGCAAAATGCATTGTATATGTGCAATATAGTCACATCACAACGTGGATTCACAGTTCAGAATGCAGGAGATTTGTGGAGTCGTGAGTGAAAGTTTTTATTATCCTCATGTGTAAGAGCATTTCAAGTGCGCTTAAAGCATTCACGGACAATGAATTATAATGTTTGTAATTGTAATAAACATTCATTTTATTGAATTATTTATTTTTACATTTGATTCCTTATTTTCCCTTACCTGAATGCTGTTAGACTCCTCCAGAAAACTACAATGCACTTTTTATTTCACTTTTATCAGTAAACTCAGTAATAATAACCCTTTGTTGGCATTGGCATGTGGCAATATGCTTCCTGATACGTCACTCACTGTTGAGTTATGAGTATTTATGTATGTGGCTTCATGCAGACACAGTCAAGTGCCGCCGCTGATGGGCTGCCTCTCAGCCGTTATGCCGCCTGCAGTTCTGCCAGCTGGACTTCACTCTCAGTTGCTGCTGTTCAACCTGAAACACAAATGAAGCTACGAAAAAGTGCTTTTTACTGTACTTTTTTGAGCGCAGGAGAAGCAGGTGATAAAACCAAGCTATAAATTGGGTACTGCTGTCGTCACATCAAAAGTTGATATAGTTTTGAAGTGAGAAATCAGGCGTGAAAGTCTCTCCTCAACCGCGGTATGACCTCCCCAGCTCACAGTACAGCCACCGAGGCTTCATGGACTGCTGGAGCCGCAGACCTGCAGATGACCGAGGCTCTGCACCTGCGGAATGACGGCGTGCGCTTCCCCTCCTCGGTGCCCGTGGATCCGGCGGTGATCACGCAGCACCCGCCGTCTCACCTCCATCCCCGCATGTCCGTGTACAGCGCCACACGCCCCACACTCTCCAGGTCCTTCCTTCAAGGACGTGTTTATAATTTCTTGGAGAGACCCACGGGTTGGAAATGCTTTGTGTATCATTTTACAGTGTGAGTATTTTGTTTTGATTGCTTTTGAGAGAAAAAAAACCCCTGCGTTTAGACTCATGCATTTGTCAATTCAGAAATACAGTCTATTCGTCTATTATATCTAAACAGTTTGATTATTGTTACAGGAGGAATTGGGTTTGTTAAATGCGTGACAGGGAGACTATTCTTTGGATGATGATTGTTCAAGGGCACTGCTGTTTTTCATTAAATGTTTCCCTTTTTCTGGAGCACTTCATTGCATAATAACCACAATTTTTAAATTTTTATGAAAGAAATTTAATATTTTAGTAGGCTATTGCAGTTATTAGAGGTTAACACAGAACATACTTTCCTTTTTTTCTTTTTTACTGTGAGGATTTTAAATATTAATCTGCTATTGTGTAAAGTGAGAACTAAAAATTGAACTATATACTAACTAATACCTAAATGCTGCAACAGTTGCACTGCATTTTGCTATAAGTACATTTGTTTTTGGAACTTAAAGGGATACTTCACCCAAAAAGAAAAATTATTCGCTAGTTACTATCCCTCAAGTAGTTCCAAACCTTTATGAGTTTTTTTTTCTGCTGAACACAACATGATATTTTGAAGAAAATTGAAAACCTGTAGCCATCGAGTTCCTTAAGGAAAACTTGCTTCAGAAAATCATCTTCTGTGTTCATCAGGTGAAAGAAACAGCAACAAGAGAAATGTGAGTAAAGGATGACAATATTTTAAGTTTTGGTTTATCTATCCTTTTAAAATGTCAAGTTTCCTATTTATTTTAAATGGAGTAAACTTGTTAACAAAGGTTCGGCAGTGGAACTACGCCTCTCTTTGTCTCCTTAACCAATGGGGTCTATGCACAGCTAGAGTTTTAAAGCCAAAGATAAACTTTAGGTTAAAGCTTAATGTATTAAGCTTAATGTATGAGTATTTTCAACTTCAAAAAATGTTCTTTACAGCTTTGATGTTGTATTTTAATTACAATACATTCAGTTTAACAGACTTAAGCATTCATTTAGTTGTTCAAGCATAAAACAAAGGTGATGGTTGTAACCACTAGCAACGTCAGTAGCAACAGGCTAGCACAGAAAAATTGAAAATACTGTAGTAAAATAAACTGTCGTATTTTAAAGACATGGCAGGGGGAAATGGAATTTAATGCAGTGCTTCTTGTTCGATCTGAGACCCATATTGAATATCTAACAGGTGTAGATTGCTGATTCTTAAGGAAATCAGACGTGACAATTTTGTAATGGAAGTACAGTTCATTGCAAACCCTTGGGCTGCCTGGCTGAAAATTAAAAATCCCTATGCATATAGCCCACCCCCTTCACTCTCGAAAAACTCTGCCAGAATATTACAGAGATGGTACCCCCACTCTGAGTTTTTGGGCATCATGGTAGGACGCCCGATTATCATACCTACTTGTTCACTGTTTATCCTCTTACTTCCGTTCCCCTTGACCCCACTGTTCCCTTACCTTCCCTTTCATCCTTGCATCCCTACAATAAAGTCTAGCTTGATCACATGGGTTTCTTCCGGGTGCTCCGGTTTCACCCACAGTCCAATGGCATGCGGTGCAGGTGAATTGGGTAAGCTAAATTGTTCATAGTGTATGTGTGTAAATGAAAGTGTATGGATGTTTCTCAGTGATGGGTTGCAGTTGGAAGGGCATCCGCTGCGTAAAACATATGCTGGATAAGTTGGCGGTTCATTCGGCTGTAGCGTCCCCTGGTTAATAATCATGTGACTAAGGTGACTAAATAGGGACTGAGTCGAAAAAAAAAATGAATGAATAGACTATATTTTTAAATTCCATTAAAGTTAAGTGTTCGTTAACATAAAAAGTTATCAATTTTATTCATTTTCCTTTATTTATGTGATTGTAAATTTAGTTAAACATTATGTGCTACTTCTAAATGTCCATACAAAACAAAAGCACACTGCTTGTCGTGTTGAACTGTGACATTACATTAACTTTCATTACATGACAACTGTTAAAATGTAAAACCACAACTCAGCACATGGAACAGGAAGCACAGTAAAGTCCTGTACTTTAATTCATGCATTTCCAGGAAATTTTATTTGAAATCTTGGTGCATCACAGGCTTATTTGCGAGGTAATGCATAAATTGACACAAAGGTTTTCATTAAATGCTTTGTAAGTTGTTTTGTATATGGCAACAAATGGCAAGCGATCACACAATGCAGCCATATTAATTAATCATGCATCAGGGCATGCTGTGAGCAGGACAAATGCTTCTTAACCATTTTATTTAGCATTTTAAAATATCATATTTAATGCAGTGTGCAGTGCAGCTGTTTTTGTAAATGCTCTGTGAAGTTTTAAAGATCAAAGTGCATGATAAATGCATTTATTGTCTGTTTGTAAAAATACTTTTACCAATAGATCTTTAACAAATCTGCATAACGACATCTTTTATGGTCTTTATTGACTGCCTGTGAATGTAATTTTACTTGATCTCCCCACAAACAATGTAGTCGGGCAGTGTTGTTGGCATCATGTCAAGAAGATAGTTGAGACAAAAGATTTATTTAGAGAGGTGCTTTCATTACAGCTACTTTTACAATCATGGAAGCTGCAAAATTCATGGGCTACATTGTAACAATTTGTTTATGATAGGAGAATTCAGTTACTAAGCATGTGTGGATTAATAAAATAATTAATTAATTAAATTAATTGTTGAATTTTGAATTAAAGATTATTTCGACATTTCACTGGAATGAACCGTTAACTATTCCATCACGTTTTACGTGGCAGATGCCCTTCCAGCTGCTACCCAGTACTGGGAAACACCCATACACACTTATTCACTCACACACACACACACTACAGAAATACACATTCAAATTATCTATAGTGCATGTCTTTGGACTGTGGGGGAAACCGGAGCAACCGGAGGAAACCCACCCGTACTTGAGGAGAACATGCAGACTCCACACAGAAATGCCAACTGGCCCAGCAGGGACTTGATCCAGTGACCTTCTTGCTGTGAGGCGACAGTTCTAACCACTGAGCCACCGTGCCACCATACAATTAAAAGACTATAAACTATTGTTAACCATTATCATAAGAAATGTGGGGCAGTGAGCTTTGCTATGTCTTGCTAATACAGTATATCAGAGATGCTCAAACTAGGGCTCGCTGGCCAAAGTTGGGCCATAGTAACCTTTGATTTGGCCCACCATCCCTTCTGAGAAGAGAGGGGGAATAATAGTAATGGTTTAGATTTCATTTCAAATATAACGTAACCTTTTATTTGTTTATTTTATTGTTAAGCTACAAAAAAAAAGCTAACTAAAATGAAATGTTTTATTTAAATGCTATAATTTTGTTTAAATTGTACATAATGTCACCCATCTAATAGAGGACAATGCAGAGACTTTGGTGAGTGAATCAAAGTAAAGCCAGATTCTGCTTAACTAGTGTATTCAGCATTGAACTCCACTGTGTTATAAATGTGACTATTTATGTTTTTATTACAATGAGATTCAAAGTAATGTTTATATATATATATATATATATATATATATATATATATATATATATATATATATATATATATATAATAATTAATATTAATAATATATATATATATTATTAAATGCATTAGGAAATGAACCATGGCAACTTTAATGTAAAATAATTTGGTATGTTTATCTTCTCAATGATATTTGGCCCCTCATACTAAGAAGTTTGGGCACCCCTGATATATATATACAGTTGAAGTCAGAATTATTAGCCCCTCTTTGAATTTTTTTTTTTCTTTTTTAAATATTCCCTAAATTATGATAAACAAAGCAAGAAAATTTTCACAGTATGTCTGAAAATATTTTTTCTTCTGGAGAAACTCTTATTTTTTTATTTAGGCTAGAATAAAAGCAGGTTTTAATTTAGTAAAAACCTTAATTAATATTAATTTAGAGATAAATTAATAATAAATTAGAAATAATTTGGGGGGCTAATAATTCTGATAATATTTCCGTATACATACTCACACACACACACACACACACACACACACACACAGACACACACACACACACACACACACACATACACATACACACACACACACACACACACACACACACACACACACACACACACACACACACACACACACACACATTGTGAAATGTGAAACATAAATGTAAAAGCCTTCATTTTGAAATTCTGAATAGTAAAAAAGTTAAATCAAGTAAATCTTAGTTTTCTAGTATTTGTTACTTAACCTGATAAACATTTTTGCATTATATTTACTAACTTGATGGCCGAATGTTGCTGTTTTGTAATTTTCAGAAAGACTGTAGTCATTGGACATGGTGTATATCTCTAGCAGGAGAGGAGGTGATAGCGGGCAGCTAAACTTGGCTGCAGAGAGGTGACTCTGTTCAGCAGGGGCCCTGTGGGTTTGGTAACCCTGTGACTCAGCGGTGTCGGGCAGAGATGCCAGGAGAACATGGTAATCTGTGTGTGAGGGTGTCAGATGCTGTGGCGCTTTACAAAAACGGCTGTACAAAAAATGTTTTAATGGCTTCACAAATCATGGATCATCAGACTAGTACTGTAGGTTTAATGTATATGTAAGAATGATGAACATGAGGCAGAGTGTTGGAGGTTAGTCTGTAATTAACCGGTGGCTTGTCACGCAGCACATGCGATTTATTCAAAGTGATTTATGGTGTACTAATACTGTGATGGTCCCAAAAGAGCAAATTGAGGTTAATTGCCTCGCTTAAGGGCACAACTGGGCTCTCCGGGCTCATCAGTGCATAATTCATTCCCACCTGTTGCCTTACTAGCGTAGAGCCTCGAGCACTAGTACACCACTTGACCACACTGTTTGCTGGAGTAGGAAACCGAAGAGTCTTGCCGGTACTAAAGCGCTGTTCTTCTGTTGCGTGAGTGTAGGAGGCAGTGTATGTTAGCCAAGAATGTGCACATGCTTATCACTGCTTCAAAGGCACCACAGCCATGGGGGAACGAAAGG